AAATACTAAATGTCACATACAAATAGTAATGATCACATTTTGCATGTGTATGTCACAAACTTAAGGTAACTATCACAGACCAAATATAAATATCACAGAATAACACTTAATTCTTACTTGTCAACTTTTAATGTAAGAAAATATTGAAGCCACTTGTTTTCATCATCTGATACATCGGAAACATCCTGAATAGTAAAATTATGGTAAAATCCTTCGTCGATTGTTCCCGGTAGCCTGATATCAAAGTCTTGTGAAGAAGGAATGCCCATATTCAACATCCCCAATAATTTTTTTCTCTTCGGTTTTTTCCCTTCTCTATAGCTCTGGCACGTATGTTCTCATACCCAAGTGTGAAATTGCAAGTGGCTTCTCCTCATCCTTCCCCCTTGTCATCGCCATCTTTCACCATAATGACACCAACTTAGGGTTCTAATATAGATAAATTCACAATGCTAAACAAATTAAATCAATGAATGTGAATAATTGGGTTGATACTTACATCTCAGGCTTTATTGTAGCTGATTCAGATGATTGAGAGGATGAATTCGCCATCCTGTATTTTCAGCAGCGAGTGTCACTGTTCGGTGAAGAAGAAGGACTCTAGCGATGAGCTTGTGGTCGGCAGGGGGGTCCTTATCGATGGATGAGAGTCGACGAAGACGATTCAAAGGTGAGTTGCCGAAGACGAAGACGAAGACGACGAGCAGCGACGATCTTGAGAGGAAGAGGGTTTCAAAGAAGATGACGAGCGGCGACAGTCTTCGATGAAGACGACGAAGACGAAGTCGACGAAGACGGTTCAAATGTGGGTCGCCAAAGACGAAGACGACGAGCGGTGGCAGTCTTGAGAAGAAAAGGGTTTCGAAGAAGATGACGAGCGGCGGCGGTCTTCGATGAAGACAAAGTCAAAGAGTTATCGTCGATGGCAATCTTGAGAGGAAGAGGGTTTCGAAAGGGAAGAGAGTCTCGAAATTGGTTACAGACGGTTTTAGTAATAGCGCTCAGAAAGGGATGATGGTCTAAATTGGAAAGGATAATTTAGGGATACTTTTTTGGGTAGTGCGTCTGTACTATGTTTGGGGGCTTGTTACAATTTTTTTGTATAATGGCTTTTTGGTTATGGTTCTTAGGCTTGGGGTGGGGATGCATGGCCTAATTAAATTTAGTTTCTTCAAACAATTTTCCCTAAAAAAACATTGCAGCAGTATTAACAGCGAAAGAGTTAAAAAACAGTACTGCTATCAATAAAGTTAAAGGACATATATATTAGTGGAGTGTTTTGTTTCACACTTTTTAAGGAATAGTAATAAGAATTAAATCTTATAGGAGAAAAATCGTAAATAAAAGATTCTTTATGAATTTTATTCCTTAGTTTGGTTCACAACAAATTTATATATTTCGAAATCTATAAAGTTGTAAAAGTATGGCGTTTTTATGGAAACACAAATCCTATTGATTTGAGAGGATTTGAGGTAAAAAGTTGACACACCCATACTCTTCTCCTTCTTTTTTTATGGATTCTGTTTCTTCACAATCCCTATATTATTATGAGACCGATTCCTATTCTCATTCCAAACCTAACTAAAGAACAGGAATTGGAGAGTTTCTGTAAAGTTGGATTCTATTTTTTCATGTTATGAAACAAACGTAGAAAGGAAAAAAAAAATTCCATGATAGCATAAACTTGTCTTAAAATTTTTTATGGATTAGCTAGGAATCCATAAAAAACACCCAAATCCTATTCCTATTCTATTATCACACAGAGGATGAAAAGGAGCTTTTGAGGTTGAGGAGAGAAATGCTTTAGCTGATCGGAAATTTCTGCTTAGCGGAGCTGAAGAATGAAATGCTCCTAGTTGATCGGGAAGCAAACAAGAGAGAGCCACCATTCACTGATCGAAAAGCTCTGATTCTAGTGAAGAAATTTGAAGAGGGATAAAAAAAAGATGGGAGGGATTCTTTAGGATTCCCGATTTGCAGTGAAAATTCCATGGGTTCTAACTAGCCATCAATTTAAAGGGCTCACCCTGCAACCGTCCACCCTTCAGATCCGCCCTCAGTTTACAAGAAATCTGTTAGACCCTAGAGGGGGGGTGATTAGGGTCTTATGCTAATCTAATCCGACTAAATGCCAATTAAAATTAATTATCAAGTTATCCTAGCAAATATAAAATACAACAAGATATGTAAGCTAGGATAAACAATATGAACAATAAGATATATCCTATATGATGAAATATACATATATGCAAGGATATGAAACTAACACAAGGGGTAAACAATGTGAACTAGATAGTGGATCATATGAATAATGAGCTAATGACAATGAAAACTAACACAAGGGGTAAACAATGTGAACTAGATAGTGGATCATATGAATAATGAGCTAATGACAATGGCGATAAGAAATATAAACACAAGTATAAATAAACGCCAAAGCACACTCAAACACAAGATATGATCACGGAGTTCTGACCTTCCGTCCTACGTCTCCGCTCCCCACTCCCGGGGAGAAATCCACTATCAACCGGGTTTTCTATGTTCACCCGAATAACGTTTACACCTCACAGTATCGGTTTTCAACGCTCACCGATCAACGTCACTCCTCACACTCGGTTTCTAGCTCACCGAAAACCTTACAACACTCACAGTGTAACAAATATAAATTTGTTCTCTACAATAGATGAGAACACAATGAAAGCACAACTCAAGGTTATAATCTCTCACCACCCAACTATACTATGTATGTAAATACTAAAAGCTCAATGTGTGTGTGTGTAACAATGAGTAACCTGAAATCTAACTCAAATAGCAAACTAGCAATAATAAGAATATATAAAAATCAATAATGAAATTGCTAGAGAAAGGAGTTAGAAAACTTCTCTAAGAACACAAAGAAGAGGATGAGGGGATTGAGAATGAATCCCTCAATCTGCAGTTAAAGCTTCCTCCTTTGTAAACAGAAACTCAAACTCAAACAAACAGTAAAACCCTAAACCCTTGCTTAAACTTTTATGAAAATCAATAATGAAATTGCTAGAGAAAAGAGTTAGAAAAACTTCTCTAAGAACACAAAGAAGAGGATGAGGGGATTGAGAATGAATCCCTCAATCTGCAGTTAAAACTTCCTCCTTTGTAAACAGAAACCCAAACTCAAAACAAACAGTAAAACCCTAAACCCTTGATTAAACTTTTCTTTTCTTTTAAAACATTTCTTAGTTAGCTTGAGAGTTGAATATAATAGGGTATTTATACCCTCTCACAACTCAGCCAACAAACCAGAGCAAAAGACAAAACAGCCCCAAGGCTGATTGAATCGAGACTGCCTCGGGTTTTGAGTCTCCTGGCGTAAAGGTTCTTTTCCCTTCTCCTTCTGCTAGACTTTCTCCATAGCTATAGGCGTCGGGGGAATTGCTGCAATTCCTAGCTCCGCCAATGTCTTGGTAGGAGGGGTTTTGGTACCTAATTGCTCGGAAGCATCTGGGTACTTGTAGTGATACTCATTCCCGCTCCGAGTGGCGAAGGTTTCCTGCTCATCTTCAGAAAGTGGGAAGGCCGGAATTCTGTCATCATCTTTTCCTGGAATGGCAGAAGCTCCATAACAAGACTTACCTTTCCCTTTTGACTTTTTCTTGGAAGAGGTTCCAGTCCATTGCTCGTCTCCGATCAGATCTGGATGAACCCAAAGATATATATAACTATATATATGCATAGAAACCAAAACTTATGTATATATATATAACTATATATATATACGAAGAAACCAATAAATGTGTGTGTATAGATAATTGAGCTTAGAGTATATAACACACATAATATAAAACCTAAAACTACATTACCCAAGTAATATTGATCTTCAATTTAGCTTGACTTGGTACACTTGCGGATGAAGCTTGAACTTGATCTTTAACTTGAATTGTATGTTGCTTCACTCCACAAATCTGCCAACCTCCATTTGATATCGTCGTTGAAGCGCTATTACATCTATCCTCCAACAACGTTGTTTGTCTACAATAAATATGAAAACACAAATACTAGACAAACAACATTAGTGGTAAATTGTTTGTTAAACATCATCAAAACAAGAAGGCCAACAAAATCTACAGTTGAGTTATTTTCTCAACAATCTAGATATTTTCTATCTGGAGTAGTTTCCAGTGTAAAATTTAAACTTCGGGACATTAAAGTTTAAAATAGGTCAAACTTTATGTTAAAAATCACATGTGCATTTATACTACTAGAGGTATAAAGACATTCACCTTGAACTTGTCCACCATAATGACCATTTCACGTATACAATTAATCATTGTATTTACTCGGATGTTAATTAAGCTATTACTTATTTATTTCTCTAATCAGTTGAACATAGCGAAGGCAATTTAAAATCGCACTTCAATAAATTATGCACCAAGTCAACTCTTTATTAATGTTCGATTGATTGAAAGGAAATAAAAAAAGAGCTTTGCTACAGGGACCCAAAATATGGGACCAATAGAGGGGACAAGTGAGGTGTCCCCCTCCTATTGGATAGTGAGTTGGCCATCATTAATGATGATCAACTCATTATCCAATAGGAGGAGGACACCTCACTTGTCCCCTTTATTGGTCCCATATTTTGGGTCCTTAAAGAATTTTTCATAAAAAAAACAAATGTGGCTTGCTGTATCAGTGTAAGCCTGCCACGCCAACGGCCGAAACAATAAAAAAAATTAGAGTTATTAATCCACATGCAAGATTATTAATGCCGCATAATATAAAACACAAACAGTGTACGGGGAGAAGAAATTGCCATAAATAATGGAGCCTCGTGGATGCAAGCTGCAATATTTAACTTAATTTCCATTATGTCATTGCACCCCAGTCTTTATCTTTGTCTGCAACAATTAAGAGGCTTTGATCTCTTTTGCTCATAAATTATATATATATGTATCGTCACCCATCTTGGGCGTGCAGTTGAATGTGAACTCGATCATTATCATCCTAAAAACTCAAAACTCAAAATGGCTAATCATCACCCTCTCTACTCAAAGTTTTTCCAAACTAAGAAAACAGAAGCCGAAGTGGAGGAGGAGCTCCGCACGTACACAACCCACAAAGAGCTCATCTCCTCCCTTCCGACCAATAAGTACGGTCTGCGACTCTACGGCAGTTTCTGGCTCACAGAAAAAAATATCATCAGCATACTGTCCGCCCAAAAACACTTGAAGGCCTCCCCAGACGACGTCTTCTTGAGCACCTATCTCAAATCCGGCACCACATGGATCCGGGCTCTAGCGTTCGCGGTCGTCAACCGGCGAAAGTTCTCCTTCGAGGATCACCCTCTCCTCACCACCCATCCTCAAGAACAAGACATCGCTATACACGTCGAAGGTGCGTTCAGCTTTCCCCAGGTGCCCGACATAGACGACGCCGTCAACATCTCCCAGCGGAGGATTTACGCCACGCACACCCCTTACTCCCTCCTCCCCCAGTCCGTCAAGAAATCCACCCGTGTCGTCTACGTCAGCCGTGATCCTAAGGACGCGCTCGTCTCCTTCTGGCACTTTACGAATGCTAGCAGGCCCCCCAATGCTCCGTTCACGTCGCTGGAGGAAATGTTTGACCGCTTTTGTGAGGGTGGGTACCTGGGAACGATATGGGACCATCAGATGGAGTACAAGGAGGAGAGCATGAAAAGGCCCGAGTCCGTGCTCTTTTTAGAGTATGAAGAGATGCAGGAGAAGCCAGAGGAGTGCGTGAGGAGGCTCGCGGAGTTTCTCGGACAGCCGTTTACAAGGGAGGAGGAGGAGGAGGAGGAGGCCGTCCAAAAGATTGTGAGCCTATGTAGTTTAGAGTTTCTGAAGGAGCTGCAGGTGAGTAAGAACGGGAGAGTCTACGACCAGTGGGGGGATTATGTTATGAAATATTCGTCTTTTTATCGGAAAGGGAAGGTCGGAGACTGGAAGGTGCATATGAGCCCGGCAATGGCCGAGAAAATAGACCGGATCACTCAACAGAAGATGGGCCAGTACGATCTGATTGATCGTCATCAAATCAAATGATGAACAATTAACAAAATTTACTTTGAGACCCCTCGCTTGTAGTTCCTTTCTCTCTATTTCTTTGTTCTGCTGTGTTGTTGTTGCTTGTTCAATAATTATTGTATGCTAAAGAATAAGGGTCTGTTTGTTGTTTTCCGTAATTATTAGTCTGCCTGCAAAGCACGGCCCTCTATTTTTTAAGTATCGCATTTTGAACTCACCTCCCTTTAAGTTTTAATACATTTAATTTGATTATTTTATACTTAAAATTAGAAATTATATCTACTCCTCTATACTTAAAGGAGGATTCAAGTTTTAATACATTTGATTTAGTAATCATAAATACTCCTTTATATTTAGAGGAGGATCTAAATTTTAATACATTTGATTTAGTTTGCTGTTTATGATACAGTAAAATATTGTAGTATAAACAATAACTTCAAAAAAAATAGTGGGAGATTTAATTTACCGTCCACGGTGCAGTGATTTACCGCAATAGACGGTTTGGCGGGGTTGATGTACTGTTCACAGCACAATAGTACTGTAGCATTTTTTACTGTTCACGATGTGATTTGCTACCCGATTGGGGAGGGGGGGGGTTGATTAAGTGTTCTCGGCATAGTAGTTACTGTAGCATGAATAGTGGTTATTTGGATCCTCCTATGGGTATAGAAGAGTAGATGAGGAGAGGTGTTATTTCCTTCACTTTTATGGAAAAATATTTCGTGTGATTGTTTCGCCAAAATGCATATGATATGAGCAATTTCCACCACTTCCATAGTTTGTTCAACATTTAAGAAAGAAGAAGGTAGTTGATGTATGAATAGATTCCCTCATGCTCCATAATTTGGTTAAAGTTAAAAATAATTTTCAAAGATTTGAGGGACTAATTTGTAAAAAAGTGTTAAAGATTTAAGGAAGTAATTTGTGAAAAGTTTAAAGATTTGACAGATTAATTTTAAAATATGAATATTTGAGGGAGAAATTTCACAATGTAAGAAGCAAAGTTGTGCTCCTCTTTATGTTTTTCATTAATGATCTAAGTTGACTCCAAATCAGAAAACGCTAACCATTACACTTACTTCCCTCTAGGCTTTAGCTAATGAAAATATTGAGCCTAGTCCCTAATCCTCGCAGGCCCATAACAACTTCCAACTCAAACAAACAAAATCAATCGACAACCATTGTTTCTTCATCAAGTGGTCCCAATCACAAACCCTCATCTCAAACCTTCCATTTTAATACACCCTTTTCTTATCAAAACCCTAATCCAAGCATCAACGGCAGATATCTGTCTACCCTCAAGAGTAAACTCTAACCCTAACTTCTCTATTCCCCATTTTCTTCTCCAAACCCTAATTTCTCTATATACAGGTAGGTAACGATGAAGTCCAACTAGGCCTATCCAAACGGGTTGGTCCTGCCCGACCTGACCCGGATTTCTGGGTCTGGGCCGGGCAAAATTCGTAGCCCGGACCCGGACCCGATCCCGGGGTGCCCGGGCAGGGCCTGAGTTCGGGTTCGGTCCAAACAAGGTCGGGGCTGGATTTTTTTGTATTTTTATTTGATTTTTTACAAGAAATGATCAAAATATTAGATTAATCTTATTATATTTATATTGTATTAGTATATACTTATATATTAGTATATAGCTATATATTATATATACATATATTATGTAAGTATATTGTATATACTTGAGAGAGAGAGAGTCACATAAGTATATATTACTTACTTATAAATATGTATTATATAGTTATATATGTATTTGTTAGATACTTATATTATGTTTATTTAAGTATAGTTATATTGTGACGCCCCTGTTTTCACACATGGCTGCAGTCCAAGGTGAACCCAGAGATGTCAAACTTGCTATGCATCAATACTATGTAACAACATATTTCACTATCATAGTAATATTTCTCTAGTGGAATCAATAACAAGTGTAGATACAAAACATGCAAAATAAAATAAATAAATGCAATGGACATGACATAGAAAGAGATATCCAAATAAACATACTCATGTCTCAACTGAATAAAAACTAAGTACAACTAATGTCTAAAATAAATGTGAAGTAACTTAATACATAGAGTCAAATGAAAATAGTACTAAGGCACACAGCCTTTACAAAATAAAATACAAGTCTAATGATCAACTAAACCATAATTAAATGACTGTAGAGTATCAACTACTAAAAATAAACAACGACGACTATGCTATAAATCCGTCAACCTACGGCTCTCTGACACTCTGATCCGCTGCCTAAAAGAAGGGAAAACAAAAAGGAAAACAACAATAGCGTCAGAGTGTTGTAGCAAGATCATCTCTATCCGCCCTCAGGGGAAGGGCTACTAAATATGATGGAGGCTCTACCTATTATGCATAGTCTACCTAAATTATTTTCCCTATAACTAAATGGGATTAATATTTAGAAACCCACAACACAAGACGTAGTACGTTAAGCGAAATAGTTTAAACAAGGAAACCCTCATGTATATACCATATGTCTCAAATTGTGAATCGCTAAATATCAATTCTAAACTAAAAATAAAAGGTAAAGAAAAAACAACACAGATAAATACTAAAATAAACAATGTCAAAATGTCGACCAAATATCTCGCGTTACCCTTGGGTAGATAATATGGATACAAGAACTAAATCTCCTGTAACTCCCAAATACGAAGTAGTACGGTCACAATATAACTCAGCGATGAATCATATTTATAAATGGCTTCCGCCAAAGACTCGGGCTATCAGATATATCACTACAATATCTCGTAAGGCTCTATGACTCATCGCAATATTATGTGAAACGGACTACCAAATCAGACATCCTAAATATGTACATGGCTCATTAGTCTCATCACATTACCGTGCGGGACGGACTACCACATCAGGTATCCTAGAAGTACGGTTCTCTAGCCTCATTGCATCACCATGGGGGACGTAATACCAAATCAGGTATCCTAAAAAATGACTCAATGGCCTGTACTAACGGCATATCGACGTACTATCCCAAGTAGTACTGAGTTATGCTCATCAACGATATCCATACATGTATATATATCTATACTATTTTAATTAATTATAACTCATAACGTGATTGAAACACTACTTGTAATAATCCTCTCCTGGATATACGTATATGTTTTATGGCTCTATCCATGTACATCTATGGTTGCACGTGTGTCATCGACTCGAACCCTGCATTCATGATAGAATGTGTAAGAAACAATCATCAACGTGAAAATCTTCCAATCGTAGTCTTCATTTGTTGATGTGAAAGTCATTTGATTGTAGCCTTCATCATCGAGTTGTTAATACGGAAGTCATCATATTATAACTTCTATTATCGGTGTTTGATGGGGATCAGCTATCTGCAGTAATTTTTAGATAGTCTACAGAACCCCCTCCAAAGTTTTTGAAAGTTCGCGTTTGACTAGAACAAATTTTTAGAATACTTTGGATCCCTAAATTAGTTTGAGATCTATTATTGAATGATGGTTGACTATAATTCTGTTTGAAGGTACCATGAACCTGAATGTAGAACTTTGCTACACAGCACCCATATGCTGGTGATCATAATAGGATTTTTGGCAAATCCTCAGCCATTAACGAATTTGATGTGTCTTTACCGATTATCGTTTAAAATCGGGCTAGCATGTGAATTGTCTAAGTTCCTTCCATATGTAACGTTGTGCAAAAAGAATAAACTCTTTTAGACTTGGTGTTATGATATTAATTACATAGGCTTTATCATTTTCATGGGGAAAATACTATCCGGCGACATATGTTAGGCGTCGGCTTGTCTCTAATTAGGGATCGAGACAAAATCCCTCATACGTGTGAGACATGAGATTTTAACATTATTAATAACAACCCGCTACGATATTGAATACGTAGACTCCGATAAATATGTGAGACGCAGCTCGAATTTGACCAGAATGATCCTTGTAGAATTTGATGAACACCCAAGGCACACCCCATATTTGGCCTAAATGATTCTTATAGGTATTGATGAATACCCAATGTGCAGCCCAAATTTGGTTAAAATAATCCTTGTAGAAATTGATGAACACCTAAGGCATATCCCAAATTTGGCTAAAATGATCCTTATAGGTATTAATGAACACCCAAGGAGTAGCCCAAATTTGGCTAAAATGATCCTTATAGGTATTGATGAACACCCAAGGCGCAACATAAATTTGGCTAAAATAATAATTTCAGAGGACTTGCTCTGTCTCTTCTATTGGTTAGCTCATCAAGGGTAATGATTTTAACAATATCCTTATTAATCTTAGTGGGAATGTTAAGCTATTTGAAAGGATGAGTTGCGTGGGGAATTGAGCAATTATAACTTATCTGTACTCATCCAAGAGATTGCATAGCTTCTTGTTGTATATTAGTTTCTTCTTCTTTTGTCACCTTGATGGCCATTGCTAGCTTCTCTATATAATAACCCCAATGGCAGTGGCAGCTCGTTGTGAGGTTGAAATGCAGGATTAAACCTGATGGCGTTTGGGAAGCTGAAACGCAGGATTAAACCTGATGTTTGAAGGTTGAAATGTAGGGTTACACCTTACGTTTGGGAAACTGAAATGCAGGATTAAATCTGACGTTTGAAAATGAAACGCAGGATTTAACCCTACATTTGGCAGTCTAACCGACTCACAATGAGCGTGATTTTTACCTAAAATCCCGCTCTGATTCGACAGCTCCAGCTATCTATAAAATAGATCGCCAAACGTTAAATCAAAAGTCATTCGACTTTCCTATTCTTCTCCAGTGAACGCAATAAAGATTTTCATTTTCTTCTCCGTTGAGTACTGTTCATCTTCTTCAACAGGGTTAGAATGGCTCCCAAGAAGAGAACCGCTTCCAAATCAAAGATCACCCTTGCTTAGAGTACGTCATCGGCCAAGGTCGCTGGTGATGCTCAGGCAACCGCGCCGCCGCCACAGGTTCCCTCAGTTAATGGTAAGTTCAGGCGATTATAACTTGTTTCGACAAGTTCTATA